CTCTTCCGAAGAGCACTTCGGAACCGTACATGCCATCAACAGCTGACGCAAGAGTCGCTATGCCTTAAAACATATTGTCACACAAGGACAACAACAGATCGACTAACAGACTATAAATACAGATTATCAAATCCTTAACGAGTTAGAAATCTCACCATTAATTACTCCTACCTTTGACTAAATTCTTCTACTGTCCCCTTACATAATTAAAGACACAATTGATTACTTAATGAATTCCATTAAACATCTTACACCATATCAAGTATAGTTATTCATACATCAAACATACTTGATTCAACTACCATCTTCTCATGCTACCTCAAAAGCATGATTGACTGATGACATCAGCTGATATTTATTACATCAGCATTACCTCAACTTCAGGATACTTAATCATATCCATAGCATCTACAATAATCAAGAATACAAGCACACACTCATTACTTCGATAGAATTATCTCTTTCTACACAACAGTGCAATATTATTATAATCATTTACAAATAATAAACATTGTTTTTTCTAAATACATAATATTTTTCAGCCTTATCACTTATTATTTCCTTTGAAGTTATCCTGCCAAGAGACTAATTCACTGAACTATTGAATTGGTAGTTCGAGCCTAAACTAAACCTTTAAAATCGAACAATAGTATAGTTATAAATAATATATTATATATTAGTTGAATATTAACAATCCATTTATAAATTGTCTTAATAGGAATATTTACTTAGGGGATATTTTAAAACTCGGATGTATATTATGAAGCCACCATTTTTATGAGAATTCCTTTGTTACAAGATAAAACTATGGAAAATAAACAAATTCTTACTCGTACATAAACAATTTTTATAGTCGCCGTATGTTCTTCACGCTCAAGATATATTATTATCTAAATTATAATTTAGAGAAATACTGGCAGAAAACAAGCACATTCATTAGTGACAAAAGAGGAATGTATATTCTTACATTATTAGTATTTGTTATTATAGATATACACATCTGAGAAAATCGCTGACATACTAAATATTTTAAATAAGGAAATTTTGTCCATATTTTTTGTTATTTATACTTGTTTTGAATTGTATTTTATTATATTGATTTCGTCTCAAATAAAAGAAGCTTTATACAATTATGAACTACATGAAAAAACTACAAACTATAAAATTAAATAAGATATTATTAGAAGTAAGTAGAGTAAGCATTTATAAATAAATTGAAATTACTCAAAATTAACATAAGATTACTGTTCGAAAGACATAATAATAAATCTGAAAGGAATTCGAAGGAAACATTATGAACATAAATTATATGAACAATATATTGCAAGGACTCATCTGATATATCCAGAACAATCAATCTTATTACGAACAAGGAAAAATATATTTATCAATTGAATAGAACCAATTGAAGTATCACATATTCTATTCTATATTCTGTTATTACGTAAGTTTTTACAATTCACTACTTTATAATTATTATTAAATTTAAATTCTTTTATTTTTGGAATAGTAAATTTTATTATATATTATATGTAATATTATCTTTATTTTTTTAAATATTATATTTTAATTGTTCTATTATAAATTATTTTTTATGTGTTTACTGTATAAAATTCAATTGAATTAATATATCTAAATATATTTAATAGTTTATATTTATAAATATTGATGTAATTAATATCTTTATTTATAATTAATACAAATAAAAACGAATTTGTACTATAAAAAATAACATACCCTTTTTATAAATATTTTTAATATGTATAATTAATAATATTTTTCCCTTCTGTACATGTTTCGGATTTCATACTTGGTAGGTCAATAACAACCGGGAATCTAAACCTTAATCCCGACAGAGGCGGAATATATACACACTCTATAACTCAACTGTACCTGAACTTAATAAAGCGTGAAAATCGTAACTATTTATTTTTAATAATTTTATTTACAATACTTAACTACATTATATTTTCACTTAAATAATTTTCAAATATCTGATCAAAAATTTAATATTAAATTATTATGCTTTTTGATAAAAATGTTTGTAAATATATATGGAATATGAAAAAGAAAAAGAAGCGAAAGGTAATTCATTTCGTATAACCTATTCTTTCCTCTTTGTATATTATTGAAAATTAATATTTTTATTCTATTTTGTAGAGAGATTTAGAATACTTTAAAATCAATCATTTATGATAAATATTGCAGGAGTGTGCAATGTTTTTACAAGGTAATATTCTAATAATTAACTATTTATTCATAATTTCTAAAGATATAATTTGCTCCTAATAAATTTTAAAATTTTTTAAAATATGTAATCAATAAAGATTCTATAAGTATAAATATACATATACATATATATGAACAGTTCTATACCTATATTGTTGTATATAAAATTTCAAATACTGTTATTATTTTATTCTTGTATCTAATAAATATTAAAAACATATTTTAAATTCATGATTATACATGAAAGTAAATTAATTAAAATTCAATTTTTACAAATTCAAATAAGAAAAATACATAGTAATAAAAAAATTTATGAAGAATAACTAAATTTAATTACTTATTTAAATTATATTTATGAAAATAAAAATCAACTATTTAATTATAGATATATTGATTTTAAACATCGTATTCGAAAAAATGTTTGTATTGTACTTAAAAAATATTTTAAATAATAGAATAAAGCTTACATACTTATATATATATATATATATATATATAATGAATTTTTAATGAATGAAATTTTTATATTAATATATTTATTTAATATTAATATATAATTTGAATAATGAAATTTTTAAAAAAATTTATGTTAAGCTGATAGATTTTATTAAAAATTTCATTATTATTAAGTGGAATACAATAATTCAATATTTTGATGAAATTCTCATAAGTAATACAATTACTGTATAAAAATATCCAAAACTTTATATTACTAATAAAAATCAATTAGATAAGGTTAGACTAGTACTTCAATTAAATATATTGCAAATAGAAATGAAATTATCGTTTAAATTTTAAATTAGATAATTTAGAAATGGTATTATATATATATATATATATATATCAGATATTTGAAAAGAATATTATTTAAAATAAATAATATAATAAAAGAAGTTTGTAATATTAATGATAAGGCTGAAAAATATTAAGCTTAGCACCATTGTATAAGAAAGAAGTTGTACAAAAATTAGTGTTAGTAATATGAACATTTTCCTTTAAAATTTTTATAAATAAAAAAAATTCACATTAATGAAATAATTAAAATTTTATCTTTGTATATTAATTTTCTGTTGTAAAGATCAAAATTTCTGTTTTTGATATGTGTATATCAAGTAAGAATAAAATATATTTTAAACTTTGTTAAATTAGTTTAATTAATATTATTATTAAAAGTATTGTTAAAAAAAACGTTAAAATTATTGATCGCTAATTGATTATAGCATTTTTATTTTCGTTACGTTATTTAAACCTTATATAAATTTATAATTAAAATAACAATTTATTAAATACCCCACATTTGTAAACGAACTATTTTTTATTTATAAGCCAATAATTTTCTGTTTAACAAGATTTTCATAGCAATATTTGAATGTGATGAACTTTATTAACAAACAAAAAAAAAATTTGAAATTCAAAGATTATATGATTTTTATAAGTTTTTATAAATTTCTTTATTATAAGTACATATTTATAATGAATTAATACAGATAAATCAAAGAATAATTTTGTATCATGCTACAATGTATTATCTAAACAAGATCTAATGTAATTCATAATGTTCCTCTGGTCATGATTGCGAAACAAGCATTTATAAGAGGTCGAAAAATGATGTATCATAATTAGATATATATAACAATGTAATTATGATTAAATATGTATAAATGTAAATAAGTAATCAACAAAAGTGTGCTTAAACCGACATAAAAAAGTAAATTATTAAATTTTATGATCATTATTATAACTCAACATTTGATTTTAAATATAATTAAATTTCAAAATAATGTACTTTAAATGATAAAATTTATAAGAATCTTTGAAATAAAATAATAAAAAGTAAAAAATTATAATAAAAAAATGGAAACTAAAATGCTTCATATTTATTTTTATTATTTTTATATTATTATAATTTATATTATTATTATATATCATTTTTAAAAATAGTTTTCAAGACTCTATTATTGAAAATATTTTATAAAACAATAATTTAATTGTATGTATAAATAATATGTTTACAACAACCAATGTTGAATAATATAAAGGATAAAAATTTAAGGCTGACCCTAAATTATTTTTTAAACGTTTGTACAATAAATATTTTGTAGATACATAAGAGAATTTTTCGTGTTAACGTTACTACTTTAAACCACTTGCAAATATAGATCCTGCCCGTTTTTAATTTTTTTGTTTGTTGCAATTAATGTTTTGAATTTACAAATTAATTTTAATTGTTACAAATTATTGCCTTTTCTGTAAATCAAGAATATTAAAGTGATATATGTAAATACATGCGTTAACGAATTTTTAATGATAAATTTATTCCAGATCTTAAGTAATCTGTATTTAATATATTGTTTCCAGGTACTATAAAATCGACAATTACAAAGAAGTTCTTATAAATTTATTGTGATGTAAGAATGAAGCATTGTTACCCGCAGAAATTGATTAGAAATTAGTCACTGAAATGTTAGAAATTCAATATTTTGACGTGACAAAAAAAAAAATGGATAATATTCCAAATATGTATACATACAATTTTTGGACAAAAACGCCAACAGAGGTTGTTGAATTAACATGTTTAATGCCAAATGGTGTTGTTATTCCATTTGAAAGTAATCGTAACATAACATTGGCTGATATCAAAGAAGATCTTTGGGATGAAGCCAGTAAATATCCTCTGCATGGAATATTGAAGGATTCACAATCTTACGTATTTCTGTGTATTAATTCTAATGCTGAATCAGAAGAATTAAGAGATGAAAGTCGGCGCTTATGCGACATAAAGCCTTTCTGTTCGGTACTTAAAATTGTTGAAAAAGAAGATATTAAAGTTGATAGAAATTTAGATTCCCAAATTGGTCTTCTTATTGGTAAGGGTTTACATGAATTTATTGCTTTAAAAAATTCAGAGGTTAACGATTTTCGATGGAAAATGAGATTATTGGGTGATGAAATAGCTTTAGGTCGGCAAAAAAAATCTTGGACTGAAAAAGTACTTTATCAATTTCCATCCAGATTTGCCTCATCACCTAATATTCCAAAAAATATAGAATCGCGTTTAAAAGATAACAATATAGTAATTGTAATTAAATTTGAAAACGCAGATACCTCGTATACTTTTTTAGTATCACATACAACAACTCCTCGACAACTTGTTGTATTAGCGTTAAATAAACGCGCTAATACTTTGACTTTGCGTGACGAACGACCTAGGGATTTCACACTTAAAGTTTGTGGACAAGAAGAATATCTGTTAAGTGACTTACCACTTATTCAGTTCAGCTACATTCAAGATTGTATCGCTAAAGATATTATTCCAACTCTTGTTGCTATTAGCATAAACAATATTTCTATTTACAAAGATCATGATTATGAAGATCCTGATTCGGACATTTTAAGTCGTGGTACTAGACCATCATTTTCAACATTAACATTGAGAAAAAAGGGCAAATATACATATTCGTGGAATATAGAAGATGAATTTAAATTTAATGTTAATGGTATTTCACGTCTTAATTGTGAAGCTGCTCATCGAACCGTAGAAGTTGGTTTACTAGCTGGTTTATTTCACGGTGGAAAATCTCTTTGTGAAAGTCAAAGAACAAAAGATATTGTTATACAATCTGATGGAAGTTGCGAATGGGAAGAGGTTCTCAGATTTGACATAAAAATTCGAGATATTCCAAGAAATACGAGATTATGTTGCGTTCTTTGTGAGATTGGTAAAACGTCAAAAGGTATCAAAAGTCGAAAACTCGTAAAAGATTCTAAACAAGAATACTTTATAAATCCATTGTGTTGGGCCAATACAACAATTTATGATTTTAAAAGTCAATTAAAAACTGGGGCTATGACACTTTATACTTGGGCATATGCTGAAGATATTCAAAATGAAGATTTACTTCATCCCTTAGGCACAGTGGTTTCAAATCCACATATAGATCGAGCAGCTGCACTTATGTTAACTTTTCCCACGTATACTAAAGATCAAATAATTCTGTATCCATCTCCTGAAAAAATGGTTGAATTTGCAACAAAACTTTGTGAATCTAGAGAAAATTCAGCTGAATTTGATCCTACTATCATTTCTAGTTCCGATTTACAACAATATATCGATCAACTTCAATTATTAGCTGATCGAGATCCATTACATGAATTGCATGAACAAGAACGGAAAACTATTTGGTCTTTGAGACAGCAGTGTATTACTAAAGTTCCGACAATATTAACAAAACTTTTACAATGTGTTGAGTGGAATGATCATAAAGAAGTTGCAGAAGCGACTTCTTTAGTACTACGTTGGCCTAAGTTGCCAGTTGAAAGAGCTTTAGAATTACTAGATTATGCTTATGCTGATCAAACTGTACGTAGTTTTGCAGTAAAGTGCTTAAAAGATGTCAGCGATGAAGATCTAAGTCTCTTTTTATTGCAACTTGTTCAAGCGCTTAAGCATGAAAATTATTTATCATGCGAGTTAACAGAATTTTTGTTACGACGCGCATTGAATAATCAACGAATAGGACATTTTCTATTTTGGCATTTGCGATCAGAAATGCACGTTGGTTCTGTATCTGTACGTTTTGGTTTAATTTTGGAAGCCTATTGTCGTGGTAGTCAAGAACATATGAGAGCTCTTTTTAAACAAATGGAATGTTTAGATAAACTTGGAAGTGCTTGTGATCAAGTAAAACAACGGAAAGACAGAAAAATTGCACAACAGTGTTTACATGATTATATCAAAGAAGCACACTGTCGAGAAGCTTTTTTTAATGTTATGAGTCCACTAAATCCAAGTTTTAGATGGAGTAGTATAAAGGTCGATAAATGTAGAGTTATGGATAGTAAAATGAAACCACTTTGCTTAGCTTTTCAAAATGTTGATCCATATGGAGATGATGTATATTTAATTTTTAAACATGGAGATGATCTTCGACAGGATATGTTAACATTACAAATGCTACGTATTATGGATAAACTGTGGAAAAATGAAGATTTAGATCTGCGTATGAATCCGTATGGATGTATATCTACAGATAATCGAGTTGGTCTGATTGAAGTCATTTTAAATGCAGAAACCATCGCCAATATTCAAAAAGAAAAAGGAACCTTTCCAGCTACTGCAGCATTTAGAAGAGGCTCGTTACTTGCATGGTTAAAAGATCATAATCATACAGAAAAGACTTTAAACAAAGCAATTGAAGAATTTACACTGAGTTGTGCTGGTTACTGTGTCGCCACATATGTTCTCGGAATTGCAGATCGTCATTCGGATAATATAATGGTTAAAAAAACAGGGCAATTATTTCACGTGGATTTTGGCCATATATTAGGCCATTTTAAAGAAAAATTTGGAATTCGTAGAGAAAGAGTGCCATTTGTGTTAACAAATGATTTTGTTCATGTAATTAATAAAGGTCAAACAAAAAAAGGGCAAGCTTTAGAATTTCAAAGATTTCAAAATTATTGTGAGCAAGCTTTTTTAGTGCTAAGAAAACATGGCAGTCTTATTTTATCTTTATTCGCTATGATGATTTCTACAGGCTTGCCAGAGTTATCATCAGAAAAAGATCTTAATTATTTAAGAGATACACTTGTCCTTGAAATGTCAGAAATAGAAGCTCAAAAACATTTTCGAAGTAAGTTCGATGAAGCTCTTTGTAATTCATGGAAAACTTCTTTAAATTGGGCATCTCATAACATGGCTAAAAGTAACAAGACTATTTAAAAATAGTATTCCAGTTTGTACAAAGCAATGTAATAATAAAATTTTAGTTATATATTTTTGTCAAATATTGCTATATTTCAAACTATTTATATTAAAGACTATTAAAGACGCCAATAAAAATTTATATTATTTTGAGTGAAAACATAATTTTTTATAATATTTTTATTTACATCAATAATACTTAAGAAATGTTATACAAATGATTAATATGTATGTATACTCTAATTTATAATGTATGTGCAAAATATGCAAAATACAAAATTAAGTAATAAAAACTATTGGCAATTTTTTAATGCTTTTATAAAAAATAATACATTATTTCGGCATTCAAATAATGTATAAAATAAAATAAACTTTTTTATAGAGATAAAAATAATATATTTACAATATTATATGTATAATTATGACATTCTTTCAAATTTGCGTAAAGAAAATTATTAATCATGATTTTATAAATAGATTTAGTTCTGATATATTAATTTAATACATGATAACAATATCTGCATGCTTACAGTTTTAAGGTAATAGGTACGTCTTGTTATTAATAATATGGCTAATATTAATTAAAGTTTGTTTTATACTTAAAATATTATTAAATTTTTGTCCTATCCAATGTCCTTCAAAATAAAAGTTTAGAATTATACTATGGCCACCAATTGCCGGGTGGAAGAAAAGTCCAGATTTGGTATTTCGTTAATTTTATAACAATAATATAATGATTCTACGTTGATGAGAATCGTTGAGATTTTGCCGTTTCTTGGTTGTTGGACGTGGTGTCTGCCTGCACTTGTAAAGGAGAACGTAAATCTCCGGAACCTCTTGGTGCAGTACGCTGGGTGGTGAAGTACTACACTGAGAAGTGAGAGATCGTAAGTCTCTTGACACTTCTTCGTGTAGTGCAAATTATTTTGTGGTGTGGATGAATGAGAAAGGCCTGCAACAGCTTCGTGCTCGGGGCACTGTGTATGACACTCTACTTATTATGAAACTATTGGGTGTACCTTCCATAGCGGCTCTACTGAAAGTGTGCGATTGCCCGAGTGACTAGCTCATGGCTGACTAGAGCCTTAATCGACTAGCACCTATCTAGTGGTGCGCTTGCCTTAAATATCCACGAGGCAGCTTTGTTAGCTGACAATAAGGAAGCGATTGTGGTGCTTGAAACAACGAATGCGATTGTGTACTTGTTTTTCCGAACCGTTGCAAAATTTCACAGAAATTATAACCGTTGGAGTTTTTCCCCAAAATGATAGCCGTTGGGGTTTTTTCCCGAAATGATAACATTCGGGAGATTGTCTGAATCTTGAACACAACTATTTTTAAAAAATTTTAGTATTTCAATTTTTATTCGAAATCAAATAATATTATTGATATGTTATAATAATAATAATAATAATAAAATTTCTTTAATCTTTATTTAAATAATTAAAAAATAAATTAATTGTATATTTATAAACTGTTCATGTAATGCTCACTTGTTTTGGTGAAAATAAATATATATAATAATTAAATGATATATAAAGTTATAAAAATTAAGTCATTAGTTTAAGATGAACTTTTGAAATAATAATTGTAAAAATAAAATCAATACATTTTCATATGAAATTGTGACACATCATATGTAAATAGTCAATATTTTAAATATGGGAACACTAACAATTTCTTTAAGGTGAAGATTCTATTAAATTATCTATTAATTTTATAAATAACAAATTACAAAATATCTTGTAGAAAACTTACACAATAAAAATATTGGTATATAAGAATTTATACGAATTTTATTGATTTAATACTAATTGCAGATAACCTATCACCGATACAAAAATACTTAATTACAATGGAACTACCATATCTGTAATAAATAAATAACAATCTTTAAATTCTTATAAAGTATTAAAGTATCTATTAGTTATAATTCGTATAATAATTAAGAATAAATTTAAGTTGCAATATGACGAATTGTTTTCAATAAATTTTCTTATTAAACAAAAAATGGAAACCTAGGCTGTGTAGAATTATATGGACAATATGTGTACTAAAATTACTATCTAAGAAAATATTTTTCATTGTATATTATAAAAATCTTATTAAATAAGAAAATTACTGTGACAAATAATAAAAAGTTTTCTATTTTAATTCATAGTATTATTTATAATATTATTAATAGTATTACATTATATATATATATATATATATATATATATATAATAGTAACATACCATTTTCCTATTATTATATGTTTTACTATCTCTCTCTCTCTTTCTCTCTCTGCCTGACTGAAAATCAAATTGTGTCAATTAATTTTAGTTAAAAGATAATGATCTTAATATTTTATCACTTTATATAATTAAATTTTTTTTTTATTATATATTACTGATAATCTTTTAATATAAGAAAAGTTTTAAAATAATTTTAATTTTTAAATGAAATTTAACATTCACGAGACTATTTTGTGTTTTAATTTAATGAAAAATAAATGTTGACATAATTCATCTTTAAAAATTTAAAATTAGTTTTTACAAGGATAGAGAAATATTATAAACCAATAAAATAATTAAATTATCTTTTGAAGTTTGAAATGGATACTGGATTACCTGAATCCTTTAATAAATATAAATATTGAAATATATGTGGGTAATTATGAATATTTGTTCAGGATCGAACTACCCAACAATAAAAAATTTATTGTTCATTATAATATAATTCCATTACGTTATATTTATGTTTAAAATGCGTAATATTTGAATTATTCGATACGAAAATTCTCGATGAAATTTAAGCCTCGTGCTATATCTGCATAGCAACAAAGGAAGATTCTCGAATATAGTAAAACTTGTTTTCCAAAAATTCACCAAAGTTTCCAAGAATTAGAACGCTAAATTTATGCAATCATATATAAGGAACAAGAGACGATGTAAAAAATTAGTCTTGTTGAGTAAGTCAAGTGAAATTAGTGCAAGTTATAACAGTTAAAGTTCTACAAGCCTGTTTACGGGAATCCGTACAAAGTATACACATTTATTTAAATTATTTATTATCTATTGCTGACTAGCTATCGGTGCGTCCTCCGCAACATGACTATAGTAAGACCGTTTTGAGGGCGACGACGTAGACTGGCATATCCAGCAAACTATTTGTATTATATTATTATTACGGCTCAGCGCCGATACGATTGGTCAGGCCTCTGCAACTTGATTCATATCAGACCGCGGAAGAGGTCGCCGATACTGTTATATAGTCCCCACTAACTCATTTCTCACCGATTCTCTCCCCAGTAATAGGAGAGCGCTTATGGCTTCGCAACTCCCGCAATTCTTTCTCCTATAAAAGATCGTCAAGGGAGCATTCAAGGTTTCGCGACTGTTGCGATTCTCTCCTCCATAAAGAACAATAAAGCGTACCCAGTATTACCACTACAGTCCTAACCTTGCATTCCCGGACGACGTTCGACAGTTTTATGGCCAACTGTTAAATCACGACGAGCTCAACAATTCTCACAACGATTAGTAAAAACAACTACCAATGTACCAACCTCTCATTCACCCCACCTCCCCC